CCTGCAACCACTGAGGGCCTAACCCCTACGATTTAGTCAATATGTTTCCCAAATTTTGTGACCTTGACTCCCGCGTACACTCCTTATGACACCGTAGGGGTGCAAATATTGGCAGCTTTTCGCATGCCACGCATATCATTTTAAAAAGTTATTTTACTAAATCGTTCCTGGTAGAACAGGTTATTATTAAACCACAGTAAAAACCGAGGAAGTACTTTCGTTCCGGACGAAAGATCGTTGACTTTTTAATTTCTACCCAATTTGAAATATGGTCTTGTTACAAGCTCTTAAAAAACTCACGGAGGAACTTTAATTGATGATTACGGAGCATAACTTTCCTTTCTCCAAGCATAACCAAACAGCATGCGTGAGTGTTGAAAACCGTCGACTGTTAGTGTTGAAACAACGTCAACCCTGAGTGTTGAAACAGCGTAGACAACGAGTGAAACCCGCATCAAGAGAAGTAATTGATGCAGCATAAAACTTACGTTTACTTGAATTCTTACATTGATTAATAATGTTTACCAAGATTTTAAATTCAGAAGCAAGTAAGCTCCGACATTTTGACTTTTGCTTCGTGACAAAAGCCTCTTTAAGAACACATGATTGATTTGTGTAGAGTCCGACATCGTTGAGCGACATACCGCAAATAGAACATCGCCGCCTTTAGAGGTTTCCAGGGAGAAATGTTTATTTCTGAATTAACTGGCTGTCCTTAGAAGACAAATTATGCTTTTGTCCCTATTGTATTCAAAGGCAGTGACTTAATCACGTCTGCGAAGATCTATCACGTTTTAATTTCCTAGCTAATTATTCATACAAAGTCGAAAAAGCGCATGCCTTTTTAGGTTCTCGACAAAAACAAGCTTAAAGGATAAAGCAAAAATCTTTTAAATGATTACGCTTCGGCACGCTTCGAGAGGATTGTTATTGAGACCTAACATGAATATAACTGCGTTCAATCGCTCACCTCAGCAGTCGAATATTCGCTCATGTCAAGCTATTGAAAACTGGATTAAAACGGTTCCAACTTTTGTCAGTCAAAGAACACAAACATGAAAGCCTGTTCGGTAAGATAAACTGTTCAGGTTAGCAATTGTAAAGTTGCCCGATGACGTTCAAAGTCTACATTTGAAGAGGACATATTACGAATAAGTATTAGTCCCAGCAGGGGGAAAAACCCAGGAAGGGTTTGTAATGAAACGTCTGAGTGTGAACAGCAAATATTTCATTGTTTATTGGATCTCACAGAAGATATTTTGACTACGATAAAGACGAAGTGGGCTAGTTTCCGGAGACGCCTTTTATTCGGCCTTGCGTGGGTTACAACAAATATCATGTACATCGTAGTCCTGAATACCCTGAAATTATTTTTCAAGCTTCAGATTAAACTTGGTTGGTAGTAAAACCTTTAGACTTTTTCAGTCCTGCGGTTACTTAAGTTGTTTACTAGCCTGACCAAAGCTTTCCTGGTGATTTGAAATTATCAAAGGGTGTATTTCCAAAATTAAAATTAATTTCCTGTAAGCTGTACACCGACAAGTTCCCATACTCTTGGGGAGATGCGAGGTGTCAATGTACGAGAATGTAACAGTTATTCTTAAAACTCTTTCCTGTAGGTTCTAAAGACTCGCGAAAGAATTCAATTAAGTTTTGAGACGGTGAATGACAACCAAACCAATGAAAACCACACTTTGTGAGCAACAAACTCGTGATAGCGGGCAGCGACAAGAGTGAACGTAGACCTTGAATTATAACTCAGAGAGTTTAAATAAATCGATGACGACGCACAATGTAAACTTGGTATCCATTACACATTGTGGTGAGTTTTTGAGAGGCTCTCATTTTAAGGAATAGCCACTTTGATAAAGTATTTTCAGTAGTTTATCTATACAAGCGGCGTGAAAAGCGTATCAGAACTATCTCTTGATCTTCAGGTATGATATTGAGAACACTTGATGGCTAGCGTTTTTCATGATTCCGTTCAGTATTAGAGGGGGGCAAATGCTTCATCTCCTCAGAAAAGACTTTTCATCATGTACGTGAATAACACTTAGACCATGACAGTTGGCGTTCGCTGAATTTAGCAACTATTTCTGGTTTAGCCAACAGCGCAGTTAAGTAAAGCAGAACTTTATGTAAAAGAGACCCATGAGTGTTTAAGGTAATCTTCGTGGAATTCCGCCGTTTTGTCATTTATCGTTAGCTTAATAAATTACTTCAAGAGGGAAAGACTACATAGCGTCTAACATAAGCCACAATATAAACGACACGCATCCAGTGCAACTAATTACCATCGACAATATATTTTAAACTCGACAGAATCAAAATGGAAAAGTCATGCTAAAACTCAAATAGAGTTTACCCTATTAGTGCGGTATTATTCGAGGCAATCTAAAGCATAACACAAAATCGTGCTTTTGTTTTTCTTTTGGAAGTGTGTCAGTCGGAGAGAACCGAACTTTCTCGCTGAAAACTTACCTTCGGCTGCACAAGTTGAGTTTAAAATTTTCGGACATAACAATTCCTACTTACCTTGCGTTCTGAGTGCAGTGGCGATGAAACGTCTCAAGAGATTGTTGGTAACCCCTACGTGTTAAACATTCAAGAGCTGTTCTTCTACGCGTCAAAAAAGCTATATTTAACTAAGGAAAAGACGTTCTGCTCACCAATCTCCCCTTGAATCTACGACGAAAACGTTTACAGTTTATCCGGCGATCAACATTTAGACTCGGCGATCAACTTTTGTTTACATTGATCAATGCCAGATATTGTCTAACCACAGCGTGCGATGTTGATATATATATCTTAATATTCCTTAATTAATCTTGAAAACTTGCACCTCGCTATTATATTGAATCTAGAACTATTTTACGTTAAATTTAATAACAGAGATAAGATCGCTCATTATCCGAAACAGCAAGATACGCACTCCTAAAACAATTGAAATATTTATCAAAACAGAAAATGTTTTAAGTCAGGTGTAAATTGATTCCGGTTGGAGTACTGATTCCTGCAGTTTTCTGTTGAGTAATGGCAACGCCGAAGGTAAATATGTTCTTGTACCTTGGTAGCTGTTCTTCGACTCCTATTTGATGTGAAAACACTCTTGGAATTCAAGCAAAGGTAGCAATATAGCAAAACCATTGTGGTTGATTGCATCATGGAGCCTTGACAAAAGATAGATCTATCTTTTGACTTCAGCCCTCCTCAGAAAACTGGTTATCACTTTACATCAAATTATCAGCGGAGCACGCTGTGTTTCTTTTTCTCCAGCTTTCAGATGAATTTAAAGAATCCGATGGTGGCAATGCTCTCCGACGTATGTTACAAGCGACTGACAATAGCTGAATAATGATTTGAAAAGTCTTTAAGAGCTAATTAGGTAAACAAAATTAGGTCTGTTAGATTAACAATGAAAGAACCAATAGGCAGCTTTCAACTTAAAAGCCATCCACCTAAACCGGAAACCAACAGAACAGAATACGCCTTCGGTCGTGTCAATTTCTGTTTTCGCTTGTTTCATTAGATATAGGCACAAAATGTTGTCATAGCAAAATGCCATTTCAAAAATGAAAAATGAAAAGAAAAGAGAGCCAAAAGGAACTAAATTTTAAGCAAATCTACATTTTCGTAGCCTGCGTCGCAGACAGTCTAAACCGCTGGTATAGACTATACCGGGACTATACCGGACTATACCGGGGATTGTGTGACACGTCCGGCTGCAACGCAGGCTACATTGAATTTCGGAGTCAGTTTAGGTAGACTAGGCACCGTACTTAAGTGAAAAATTAAATGAAAGGATATATGACCCTACACTATTTTACTTCAAATTAATTCATGAAAAAGCATATGTTTTTATAACCGCTACGATCCCAGGAAGAATATAGGTTTGCTGATTAGGTCTATTTCGGTTTGTTAACGTATTTGCCTATGATCGGCAAAAGTGGGAAAGTAGAGGATTCACTGTTAGTAATAGTTGACTTCGTGGAGTGGTAAGGTCGCAACTTACATCTGGATGAGAGGAACGAGAGTTTTTAAGAGTTCGATCGTTTTTTCAGCTATTTTTCAGCAACCCTGTTCATCAAGGTGTGCTACCACACATTTTCCTCCCCATTTTTTATGTCCAGATTTTCGTAGAATTACATGGTCCCACCAGGCTACACTAATTGAAAAAGTTGACTTTTTGATTTGCCACTGAACTGTCATCACTCTGCTTATCGAGACCTCGTTGGAGCTGCGAACTGGTTGCTATAAACCTTTTGCGAAAAATGTCGCTAGAATCCTTCCCACTGACCCTAATGAAAAACTGGTTTCTGAAGGTCTTCAATCAGTCGAAAAAACACCTATAAATTAACGAGACCCTGTTCTCTACTATCTGAAAGACGGCCTAAAGCGAGGACTCGTCATAGAGGAGCTCTGAGAGCAGATTGTTCCTCCTATTGAACTGAGCTGCCTCCTGAAACAATCCGATGATTTGAAAGAGACTATTAAAAAATGACTGTGTGGAATTTCAAAAAACCCGCCCTTATGATTTTGCGATGAAATCAAGGTTGTTTCCGCCCCAACCTTGGTTTCAAGGTATTTGCCTTAAGAATCAAGGTTATTTCAAAACGCGTCAGAACTGGTTGTCATCATAAGATTGCCTTGAAATCATGGGTGTTCTCAAGTGGTTGTTTTCAAGATTTGCCTTGAAATCATGCGGATTTCAAAAATTCTAGCCATCTGAGTTTGCCTTGAAATCAAGGTTATTCAAAATGCGCCAGAACCCGTTTTTCTATACTACTTCACGCTTGTTTGATTAGATGTACGGTTCTGTTTATTTGTCTCTCTAGATAACGCGCACGGCACGCGTAACAATATTTCAATAAAAGTTTTGAACTCGGCTTTTAGTCGAGTGTCTATGGTTTATTTTTCATTACAAGCCAACAGCTAAACGTTTAGGGTCTCGGCTTGTGGCCGGGACCGGCTTATAGGCAAATAAATACGGTAAACCCGGAAATTTTTTTCCGCTCTGTTGAAACAAAGCAGGATTTTAAAAGAAGTTACATGCTCAAGCAAACTTGGTTTTGGAGGGGAAGATCCTCATCAGATCATGATACGTTCGACCCATAACACCGCTCATTGGTCTCAGAAAGTTTTTTCCGGCAAAGTGTTTTCAATCTGGCGGACAAAAAACGTCTTTGTTTCCGGGAAAAAAACATAAATTTAGTGGTTAAATACCCTCGCTAAAAGTCGATATAAACAAAGGTTTGATTAGACTTTTGTCCCAGTGTCAGTTTGTTTGTTTGTTAATTTGTTTGGCTGGTTGGTTTTGGCCTTAAGCGCGTGCATGCTCTAAGGCACCAGAATATATAACAAACTTTAACAGTGAATATTAGTTTCCCATCCAGTGGTATTGTGATATCTTGTGAAGCAGAACTCTTTGATGTTTGGGTAATGTTCGACACAATGCTTTCTAAGACTTGACTCCACAGCCAGCCCAATCAACGCACCCACTAAAACACCCGAAGATGACCCAGCTGACATCAGTCCTAAAGCAAACTCTCTCTCCTCGGACTCAACGTGCTGTGCAATGGCATGGGGTGCGTTCACGCACATCATTCCGCCGACCAGACCAAGGGTTGAACAAATACAGATTATTATCCAGATGTACGTGAAGAAATGGTACAACGAGTTGAATATCAACAAAGTCAGTTGCGCCATCTGCAGCATTGTGAAAATCCAGGTTTTATTGCAATGAAGAAATTCATTTTCATCAGGGAGCAGCCAAGCAAATAGCAGCAAATAGCCTCGACCAACAAATCTACCGGTGAAGTACGAGAGCAGATAAATAAGGAAGTGATCGCGAGGGAGAAAATGCGAATTAGGGAAAGAAATCGTCGTAACCACGGATACAGCTGAGATATACTCAGCTAAAAAGCTCAAAAATAGAGAAATAGTGACTGAACTCATTTTCCATGCGATCTTCAGCATTTCGTCGCATGTTAGCTTTTGGCGAGTAGGCGCTTCCTGATCCATCATGGTGTCAGGAGTGGATCCTACGATGGAGTACTTCACCTGTTTGTGCTCCTCGGAGCTGTTTTGTGACTTGTCTGGGAGATAGTCTTTGCTCAGCAGTGCATAGGACATCAAGACTGCCAGGGGAAGGGGAATTACCATCATCATAGTGATCTTAGGAGAGACACAAGTCCATGTCGTGAGAACTAACTAAAAGAACACAATAATGATCACTTTTTTCTTTCATACTGAACATCAGGTAACCCTTAGCAAATAATTTAGGAGTGCAAGTTAAGATTATTAATGCTTTAAGATAGGATTCATGTCCAATTTACTTCCGAACATCTCTTTTCATTTTCTCTCACGGCCCCGTCGACACAAACTTGTGCGAAGTGTAACTCTAAAAACGACATTTTCGCATTGAAAACGCAGAAGATATTTTTTGTCCATTTTTTGAGAGAGCAACAATCGCCAGCGCCAGAGGGGAGCAGATTGTTCCGCTTAAAAGTGCAAACGATCAAATCAGTTCCTCGCCGCACAAATAACTTCATGAATTCTAGAATTGTTTCGTGACTCAAACCAACAAAGTTCAATACTATACAGTGTTCGACACTAACTTTGTTTCTAATTTACCCCTTGGGCAACCAGGTTTGTGTTTTTAGTTGCCCTTGTATTTTTTTCTTTAAACTCAAAGGAGGTTTGAAATATAATGGTAATTTTATTTTATAAAATTTACGTGGTTTGTTTTTGCGTTATATAGGCATTTTGCGGGAATCAGTCAGTCCCAAAGCACAGTACAAATTATGATTAAAATCAACAAAGTCCATTTAATCAGTGTTCCACATTAACGCTTGCTCGATTTTTTTTGAACGATTCGACTTGCAACGAGAGAAGTGTCTACTAATGTTACAAAAAGACCATAAACCTGAGCAAAAAGTCAAGAAAAATCAAAAATCTTTGCTGTGTTATTTATTTGTCCGCTAAATATTTATGGCTACAAATCTCGAAACATTTCCAAAAGCGTAATGTTCGAACATCATAAATTTGTGGCCGCTATGTTGTTTCTCATGGCGAAAGGAATGGTTGTCACTATAAAATCCAGTTTCTGCATGGCTAAATGCACCTTCATGTTGTCATATCGAACAAGTCTGTACATTTTTGGGCGAAATGAGTCTGTTTCAGTTCGGGTTTGTCGAAAAAAACCAAATGGCGTAATGTAATGTTGGCAGGACCTTGCACCCCTTTTCTTTTGCTTTTCTGTTCCAAGTGCTATTTTTTTTTTTTGCCTTGGAGTCCCTTTATTTCATGATCCGTCTCTCACTAATTTCCCTTTTACTATCAACGCAGAACGCTATGCACTGGTGAGTGGGTAAATTAAGTTTAAAAAATGCCACAGAGAAGAAACAAAGGGCTATGCTTAGGGTAAAGCCCCGAACAACTAATAAGAAAATGTTGCATTTACCTGTGTAGTAAAGAGCGCCGATCAAACAACCAGATCCAGTGCCAGCGACGAAAGTACTGATACATATCTTTGGATAGAATGAAGCCAGTGCAAGAGAGGTCGCTTCACAAGCACCAGCAGCCATGGCGTTTAGCATGACTCCTAAAATCTTTGCTCTGAAGTCGTTTGCGAAAACGACCAAAGACAATCCAAGAATCATAAAGGAGGCGATAAAAAACATCTTCGCCACGTAGGGAATCTTCTCCTGAAACCAAGGGATGACTAGTTTGGCCATCAACAAGGGACCTTCATAACAAGTGATTAAGATAGCTGTCGGAACGTCTCGGCCGCTTAGGATATCCTGTGCTGCTACAGAAAACATTTCCACATTGAAGAAGGAGATAATACCGAAGATGTAGAAACAGGAAATATTTAGCCAGTTCAGTGACTTTGTGTCTGAAGCCGTCGTTTCTTTTTCTGCTTTAAGGTTATTGTGATCGCCCATAGTCTGAACACTAGCCATGAATAGTTGCCGCAATAGCTTTTCCCTGATCCTTACAGCCTGTAATCACTAAAGAAAACAAAGCAGCACGTTGTGACATTGGCTTATGAAAATAATCCAAATGCTGTGTTCCACACGGTAGGAGACTTATCGATCTTTAGATTTGCATTTATGACAAATCGCCCTTGGGCAAAATGTCTTGAAACTGTTGCAGTGAGGTTAGCAACTCGCTTGATCGTTTAAAATTAACGAGAGGTATCAAGACTCTGGACTCTTCTCTTTTTATTCTCTCTTCGTGAGTTACTACAGCTTCGACAACCACACTGCTTCTGATCCTTTTTTTTCTTCTCTATTTAGCGAGGAGTGCCCACGTATTAAATACAAAAATCACAGACATGTTTGGGTTAGCTGACCGTGGGAGTTTCCATAGTGTATCCGTTCTTTTTGCAAAGGGGGGGGGGGGGATTGGGTGGCTCGCTCCAAAGTACTTGGCGAGCACCAAGGAACCATTTAAACGCCAACGATCGAGCTACGCACGAGAATCGCGCGCACAAACAGGATCTTCAGTGTGGCCAAAACCCAAGGTCAGCTTTACCAACACAAACACAACCACCTATGAAACTAATTATTCTCAACCACAACAAGCGATTAAAATGTCTACACGGTAATAAGGAAGTCCGCGAACTGAGCCAAGTTTGAGTACATACTAAAAATAAAAGATCAAAACTATAAAACTACCAAAATAACACGTAGGCGTAAAAGGCTAGGCTTGACAAAACAAAAAGCTTAACTGAAGAAGTCTCAAAATAACAACTTCCAATTTACCTCACAACACTGCCATCAAAATGTTGAAAATACGATCAACCATGCCGGATCAGTATGTTTTTTCATTTGAATGAGAGGCTCTTCTTGAAGCTTTGAGTGCATTTATATAACTCCAAAACCAAAGTTACGGTTTTCATTTGATAAGGGGCGCTTATTAAATTTTGAGGACCTTGAGGATGGGCCCCTATTCCAGGTGGGCGCTTATTCGAAGCTGGGCGCTTGTTGAATCTCCACCATTTCTAGCCAGAAGCAAGTTTACTTTGCATCATAACATAAAAATGTACTATAAACGGTAAATTTAGAGATTGGTAGACCAACGACAGGTGGCTCAAGCGTACTGTGTGTGATTTTGGGGTCTAGAATTCATTAACGGCAATAACTAACATATTGAGGTTACCGTGCACCTTCAGGGGTGTCTCGCGTGCAAGCGATGTAACCGTCTGGACTGTAGATATCTAAACCCCTACATCAAATTAAAGCTTATAGGACTGGCTATCAGACTATACCAAAGATTTGGAAAAAAATGAAATGTCGAACTTTTCACGACTTCTAAATACGAGCGCCCAAATCACCTTTTAAGAGCTACAAGTCAAAGGGAATTTGTTCGATTAATCTCAGATTTTGACGGTAGCTAGTTTACATATAAACAACAAAAACATCTCTCCAAATTTTTTATTTCTAAATACTTTTTTTTCAAGAGCGATTTTTCTACGATCACTACACATTTTTTAAATCCTATTTCAAAAATTTTCTGTAACTTTTCACTGAAATTGAATATGGCAAATCGCAAACAAGTCTTGTTAGCGCTTTGGCCCCGGAAACGGAGGAACACATTAGATAAGCGAAAAACAAAATTCGCTTTAACATGTAACATTCAAAAGGTGATTCAGGCGCTTGCCGTTAGAAGTCGTGAAAAATTCGACAATTCATTTTTTTTTTCAAATTTTTGGTATAGTCTGATAGCCAGTCCTATAAGCTTTAATTTGATAGAGGTAGCCTGCGAAGCAAGCCCTGGGGGGAAAGGANGGGAGATTGGGGCGAGCGGAATGTGCACGTGCGGAGGGGAGAGGGACCCTCTCCCCTCCGCACATTCCGCTCGCCCCAATCCCCCCTCCTCTCCCCCAGGGCTTGCTTCGCAGGCTAGACAGAGGGGTTTAGATATCTACAGCTCGAAAAACCGGACGTGCTGCATCGCTTGCACGCGAGACACCCCTGAAGGTGCACGGTAACCTTAAGATCGAATTTAAGGTTACTTCCCACCTTCGCGGGTGTTCTTCGGGAAAAAGATTCGCACGCGCGCCAGTTTCAAGAAAACCCTAACAAACTACACATCAAAAGAAAGCTTAATAAATGCAGTTTACGATTAAAATATAATTTAGGATCCCGCAGTACAAGCAAAATGGCTGCATAGTCTTATTCAAAAGGCATCAATTAACAACAGTGTGTCAGGCTTTTCCGATATTCTGATTGGTTGTCTAGATATCCGCATCTAAAGTTAGAGTAGCCTAAACTATGCAAGAGGTGTTGCGTGAATGGACACCACTCCAAAAAAATATTTCAAATATCAAAATTTTCTGACACACTTTCGTTTGCCATTTTCCCTGGAATGTTTTGGCGAAATTCACGAAAATCGGTCAAATCTACATACCCTATAAATTCGTTCAGAGTGGATATATATATATCTTAAAATCAAATGCGAGATTTTAGCTCCTAAACGTTAGTAAACAAGTAGCGCCACACCAGGAGATTATCTCGCCTCCTGAAACCTCGAACTAATGGGAAGACGAGACGTTCTGGCGTCAATGATAATGGATCAAGATTTTCCCGGAAAAAGTATCGTACAGCACTCACATTTTCTTATCTTACTCTGTTTCACTTTGAGTAATGGGCGGGCAAAGTTAGCAAAGGAAAAACCCGCGGCAAAAAGGGTAAAGCTGTAAAAAAAAAAATTAAAAGCAAAACAGCGAATCGACAGACAGCTTAAGTAATACCCTTATCGCTGAATGAGTTCCCTCGGGTAGGTTTATTCATAATTTACTATGATTCGAGGCGATTGCCTATGTTTTTGTATCAAGGCTGATACTTGCTTATTGAAAGTAAACTTCGTTTTTAACCTTACGTACGACAAATGTACCAGGATTGTTTTTTATCACGAAACCCGCGTGTCTCTACTAAAAGGGGACCGAAGCTCTGCGTGACGTCGCGCTAGTTTGCTGACGAGATTGTCGGGAGATAAAAATCATAACTGCCAATGCGGGATAAATAAAATTGGCCATAATAGTGAAATGTTCAGCAGGCAACCGTGGACGATACTCCTACTCTTGTACGTTGGATCAGCGATGATCTGATCGGCCCAAAATAACGAATATGAAATATATATATAGAGGCAAGACCGATACAACGTAGATAAGTAAATTTTAAGACGGAGCACAAAGGTGGGGTTAAATATCGGCAAAGAGCCAACTACGTATAAAAAGGCAACGAAAGCCTGAAGAGAAGGCCGGAGCATGGGGAGGGGACGGGAAAGTTCTTCTACAGTACCGAAAATCTGTGTTCGGATGTTAACACGATGGAAATGAAGGCGAGAAGGACCAGAAGAGAAACTGACCTTGCCTATAACCTTGGTGCTATTTGATCTGACCTCATTTGATTGGCTGAAGATCTGTGATTGACAACGTTCCTTGCCCCATGTAAAGGCACACCTAATTATTTAACTATATTTATATATATATATATATATATTGGGCCTCGAGATAAAATCACATTATGCTTATGTCATAATGATAATGTTGGCCTTTTTTTCTCTACAAACTGGTGCCATTTCTCTCTTCCTTGGGCCTGTTTTTTTTATTTTTCTTTGCTCAATGACTCCTCTTTAATTTTGATTTTTGTTTTTTATATGTGAAAAGACTTTCCACTAGCAGAGAACTTCCACGGGTAAATGTTATCAAATGTGCGATTTAAACAAGGTATGCAAATAACATGAAATTGCTGCGATATTCCCCCATGGGGTTCGTCCATTTACGAGATTATGACACCTTCCTAATTTATTAAATTTCATTTTAAGTCAGACGCTTTTTGAGATTTTTAAATTATTCCTTTTGTAAACGTTAGGTAAAATGTCTAACCTCAATCTAGTCCAATAAACGAAAAAACGATTTTTTTGGCCTCTGAAGGTGAGAAGTAATAACCTTAAAGCCTAAGTGTGGGCCGTTAAAAAAAAAGAAAAATTATAAAATAAAAAAATAAAAATAAGAAAAATATTAACCAGGATAATAAAAACAAGGAATAAAACGTGTGAAATCTCCTTACCTTTTCTCCGTAGCCGCTTTGTTGCCAACTGTCGTTTTAACGCTGTTTTGGCGACGCTCTTTATAACGCGTGCGGTGTCACCAGTCAACTGTATAAAAGGAACTGATTATAAAAAAAAAAATTAAGAAAAAATTAAAGGACATTAAAAGCGAGGAATATATCGTATGAAGTCTCCTTACCTTTTTTTCAGTAGCTACTTTGTCGTTTACGGTCCTTTTAACGCTGTTTTGGCGACTTTCTTTGTAACGCGTGCGGTGTTACTGGTCAATCGTATCTAAAACGAAAAAGGCACTCGATGACTGCATGTAGCTTACTGCACCTGATATTACTTAGAATGCCGAATTTAACCACCCAAACGACACTAGAAGTTACTTACAACTTAAGATATAGTGCAACCAAAGATGCAAGCTCCGCGATGAACGAAAAAAATATGATATAAATATAATACACTACATTGACACCTAAACCACCCGTAACCGCCCCTACCTCCCTTACTAAGCAGAATTTTGTCCCCAAACTTCCTCTATCGTTAGCAGATCAATAAACTAATCAGAATCCTTCGATAGCAAAAATATTTTGATCGCCTTAGCGGGTATTAGAGGGGCGTCATTCTATTCGTTCACACCGCGCTGCCGACCTTCAAAATTTTTAAGTGGGATTTTTCGTTCCTTTGCGATCGAGTTAGACCTTGTGGAACTCAGAATATAAAGTGGCAATGCTATAGAATACTCTGTTTGGAAAATAATGGACGTCAAGGTCTTAAAAGGGACAGAATAAACTCTCGAGTCAACGACACTACGATTCTCTAATTAAAGCGATGCGAACTTTCGGACTTCAAGCAGGGCCTAGCGACAATTTGACGACTCCATTGCCCGGTAAATATTACGTTTGACTAACAATGTGTTCAAAAAGTATTGTTTAATAGAATATTTTGCGTCATATCGTAATACTTTCAGAACTTTCATCATAACGCTACGCAATTTCTTGCCGTGAAGTCAACTAAACAACGATCTAAGCATGAATTCATTTCCTGAATGTCCCGGCCCTACTTGAAAGTTTTGTCCATGTGTACTGGTACACAAAATGCCAAAAATATTCATTCGTGTCGGCCTGGACACTAGCAAAATTAGGCCCAACGGGTAGCCCCAAGATATGAATGATTAATCAGTTTTGCTAGTGTCCAGGCCGACCGCGTCGCAACGAACTTTTGACTGCGCATTCTAATGGCGTTGAAATGGCGGTCAATTTGAGATTTTCGCTGGGCTGGTTGCTCGACAACCCAACTTTTGTGGAATTTGGTTTGGTGAACTTGAAGGGCAACTATTTGGCTTTCGTGCTTCCAAGTTTTGATTCAAGGGGAAGTATTTAAGTGTGTTTTTGGAGCGATTTTGGCGAGCGTGTGTGAGACAGAGGTTTCCTACCTTCCCTTTTATTTGGTAGTGAGTGCTAGGACGTTAAGCTGAAACACAGCAAAACGGCCTCAAATCGCGACAAGAACAGTACAGACTACTCTTTATGAAGGTAAGACTCTATTTCTTTTATTATTTCACACAACTTTATATTTACGGAGCTCAAAAGCAAGTCCAACTAAACCACTATGCAAACTCTATAATAATCCACTGTGAAAGAGCCTGTGACAGAGCCTGTGACAGAGCCTGGGCCACCTGTGGTTTTAGCAGAGCAAGCTGGCAAGAGATCTGCATGGGGTTTTAGCACTGGGTAAACTTCGCCGCGACTTGTCTCAAATCTTCTTGCGGGAAGCTTGCTCACAGGCTAAATCAGTTGTGGCTAGGGGTACATTAATTCCAAGGGCCCGGGTCAGGTGAAATATTGGATCTGGAGCAGTGCATAACCACGGCTAAAGTGTTGTTTGTGAAACAGACATATGAGACAAAAATGGGAGAAATTGCCGCGGATTATTCAGAGTACAAAGTAAATCAGTGTAAATGCAGTCCTTAGTAAGAATTTTTTTGTCAAAGCTCTGATTAATTTGTATTCAAAAAACAAAACGCTAAATGCTGCTCCCCCACCTTACTTGAGGGGGTGGGGTAGGATATCGCTATTGTGACCTTTCCCTTGCAAGGTTTGGCTTAACACCAAAAAACAAGACACAAGACTTCTTACAACTCTTTGTTATTTTATACGGAAAGAAAGTTTCTTTTATTTACAACACTATTTCCAACATCTGTTCTACTGCATCTCTCACATTTAACACATTACTTACAGCTCAAGAGTGCAGTGCCGGCAGAGCCGGCAGACCGGGCAGTGGAAAATGTAAAAACAGGAAGAAATTGACCCACAAAACTCCCATTAATCTCCATTGGGATAGACCTTGTTTAAAATTGAAAGGCAGCGGTATAACACTGAGCAAGAATTTTTTTAGAACAGGCGAAGGAGCATCCTGAATCTAATAGTTGTCATTCAGGTGTTATTGCACCCAAGAAAATTTAACTGAACATTTTTCGAAAAAAGGCATTTGTTTAACTGGGGGGTATTGTACTATATAAGCAGACGACAGATTAATATGAGCATCATTTAGACTGTAATTTTGGCGTAGTGATATAAGTTGCGTTGATTGAAGACTTTCTTAGAGGTAAATTTTTATTTTCGATTGTCATTTGAAGAAGAATCTACCAGATCGATTGTTAAGCGGGTAAGTTATCTATGAGTTTGATCATTTTAACATTCTTTAAGCAGTTTTTCCTTTGGGTTAGGATCAGGATAGATGCGAGGTTGAACACGACTATCGGCTAAAAGTCTGTTTTTGTACATAGTATATTGGGCGTGATTAAAAAGTCATGCTATGCTGACGAATTTCTGATTTTTTTTTTTTTTCAGTCCTCTGCCTCTTTTTAAATTTCCAGTTCATCTTGCTCCGTGTCCGAATGAACCCTGTGATGTCCTTTCAAACCGGAAAAACAAGCAAATGATTTGCTGCACCTCTTACAGTGATAAGGCCTGTCACCCGTGTGAGTCCTTGTGTGACTTCTTAGCGTGACAGCTTGTGTGAAGCTTTTGTTACAGTGATGACACTTGAATGGCTTTTCGCCTGTGTGAATTCGCGTGTGCGTGCGCAAGTTCGAGTATTGGGTGAAAGCTTTGTTGCAAAACTGACAGCGAAACGGTCGATCCCCGGTGTGAGTCCTGATGTGATCGCGAAGATGCGAAGATTTGCCGAAGGATTTCTCGCAGTGCATACACTGAAATCGCTTCTGTTTCTGTCTCTTTTGTTCCTCTTGTGAAGACGTCAGCGATGCGGAAGACTGCGGGAGAGATAGAGTAAACGGAAAGGCTGCTGGATTGTCAGGGGATTCGTTACTCTGCTTGCTCAGCAAAGGAGAAAATCTCTCCTCTCTGAGTCCGCATACCACGTCATGCGGTTTCATCTGAGACAGGTGATGCTCGTAAAGCCTATCGGGATACATGGTCGTGGCGCAAAGTTGACAGTTGCAGCGGCGGCCATCTGGAAGGTAAGAAGAGTGAAAATCTTAATGAGTCAGTGGGATAACTTCTGTCTATTAAAACGCGCAATGAAAATTCGCAGCGGGACTCTGACAAACAAATTTTGAGCATATTATCTTTCGCTTGGCACATGAATAAATGTATTGTATCAACGCTAACGAAAATTTAATGATTTTATTATTGACAGTGATTTGCAGTGGGAAGCGATGTTTGATATTAATTTCCTGCTGCAAATTACAGTAAGAATCAAATTTTAACGACATTGCTTTCCGCTTTGAAATTCAACTAATTGCATTGTGTTGAGAAAAATTTGTGCTCCCCAAGCGAGGAGAGATAAATATTCATTTAATAAGATAACTTGGAGCCGTAAAAGGAAGCTTTGAACCTCCTCTTTAGCACTTTTTTGCACTTTAAGTTTCCCTACGTCTTTTTAAAAGTTACAGTGAAATTAATTTTGTGGAAAACACACTCATCATAGGTAAAAAGTCGTTTGCGTTTCTTTTCTATTTGACACCTGGTTCCTTAGTTGAAAACAAAGACCGGCGTGTGCAGATTTTAAATTGAGAAAAGAAAGCCGACTTTACATTTGTGTGTGAAATAAAAAATAGCAGTTTCTCAACTTATTTGTAAGAGGTTCTCATTTTCGTGCAGAGTGAGAATTTGCTTTTGAGTGGATTGATTTTTGGGAAAACGTGTAAACTATGAAATTAATGCTCTGTCAACAACCGGTCTTTTATAAAACTTTGATACGAAGTATGCAAAGGAAAGTAAAAAAAAAAAACAGGAAAATTTACCATGATTTGGAAATCATGAAACTTATCAATTATTCTTATCCTTGCGTTTTTTCAAATGAGTAAGGGATAAGATTTTTTAAAAGCTACTTCACTACTTAAAAAAATTCATTCCTAATTACAAATTAGCGGCTATTGCCAGTTTTCTGACACCTTTTGTAGAAGATTTTTGACACACAAAGTGGCCATTTCCTGCCCGAAAAAGCAAACCTACAGTTGCAAAATAGCTGAAAGCTTTATCTCAGTAAAGGCATCATGAGGTTTAATTTTGAATTAAGCTTTACAAATGTCGCTCGTGATAAATCAAAATGCGACGTAAAGGGGAAAGTCTGCAAATACTCATAAATGGTCGCAATATTTATTGACCAAAAGGAGAGTATCACTATTCTGTTTCGCACAAACTTCAAACTTCACTTCTGAAAGAAAATCACTCTCCAACACAACTTTTCAACATATCAATTTTAAATGGCCAAGTTCGACAGAAGATAAGTGTAATCAATGAAAAAAAAGAAAGAGAAAGACTGGTTTGCAGTATGTATGATGTAAAATTCCTTTGTATGGCTACACCAAAAGACGATTCCTTCCGTTTTCAAAAGAAGAACATTACTAGAAAATCATAGTGTGTCAAAAAATCACTGAGATATCGTAGCAATTGTTTTCTAAAAGAGACTTGTTATTTCAACTTTTATAGTATTGTGCTAAAGAAATATAAACGAAAGTCGAGCGAATGGGCATCACTTTTAAGCTTGTCGTATTGTTGAAACTAAATAATGCAAAAACGTGTTTGGTCTTTTGACGAAAATAGCACTACTTTAAAACTTTCTAGCTGTATGTGCCGCATATTTTTTTTTCTTCACGAACGCTTTCTGAATAGAAAGATAGAAAATCAAAGCATCTTACCTGAGTAAAAAAGGGGCAGCCTCTTGAGTCCGTCGGAATAACAAGAAGAACTTTCGTTTTCAGACAAGTGTCGAAAACGGAACCACTCATTGCGAAGCAGAGGTGAATTTTCAGACAACAAAGCCGATGTCCCTCGAGGCTTGGGGAGAAGAAAGACATTTGAGATCAGTGTTGGTTTTAATATTTTTCCTTCCTGTTCGCTCAGTCTTTTCAAAATGGTGTATCCCCAGCATAAGTGTGAAGTCCCAAATTTCGCGATCAAACCTAATATCGATAACACTCCTGTTCCAAGCCTTTTCTCTGTGTATCGTTAATCAAAATAACTGTGACGAGATAGAATCGGAAAATTTTTTCGGTTATTTTGTGTAATATTTTTGCTATTACCCTGATTATTATTCAGTATCATTATCATTAATACTTTTATTGGAAAGAAAACCATCTTTATACCCCCCTAAGATGGAAATATATCTTGATTAAAATTTTCCCTCGTTTCTAAGTCACTTGTTTTTGGAAAATCAGCCTATGATAAAAATTTCTCTTGCGCAATCTAGAATGATCTAAAAATTATTTGTAGTAGGTCAAAATGCACTTAACAATCGTAGGGACATTGCGTTAATTTCCTTGAGAAAACTGCACAAAGACATTCTCACACTTTCATACCATGTGCAATTGTTTTGAAGCGATAGTTTAATTTCACGGAAAATTGCGCCTTTTGTGAAAAGCCAAATCGAACCATACCCGATTCCTATTCAAGGCCGGAAAGTATTGTTTTCTACGTGTGGAGCGGATAACATAAATAAAAAGCGAGAAAAAGAAGAAAAGAAAACGAGTGTGCGAATCCATGCAGCTGCAAGAAATCTCCTTATTTGTCGATATTATATTGAACAAATTTAATTATTTTTATGTGTTATGTACGTGTCGTCGGGTTTTGTCAATCGATCCACTTGTAAACGGAAACCGTCGATATTCTTCAAGATTCAAATTAGCGAATATTTCTCTCCATTTTTCTTTTTTTCACATATTTTTCTTTACGTTAAGAGAATAGTTTTAGCGTTTATTTTTGGAGTTAATTTTTTTTGCATTTCTTGAATCAGTCTGTAAGAAGCTCTTTTTAAGGCGTTACTACAATTTTATAAACAGTCGGGACTTCATATTTAAATTCTAATCTTAAAGTTGTGTTTCCTTTCAGACGAACAAATTGTCATTGTCTTTGCCCATCAGAATTTTAATACTGTTTATGTTGGCTAGGCGAAAGTTAAGTTTTAATTACTAGTCGTGGAAATTAAGTTCTCATTATTTCTGACCTGAGGGCTAAGTTTCTAAGACGGTTCGCTTAATTCCTAATAATATCACAACGCTATTTTATGTCTCCCAAGTTAGCTGGAAATTTGTAGAAAACCCTAATATTATTTGCCGTTCAAAGTCCGTTGTGGGAGCAACATTTTGTAGACAAATCGACTGAAACAGGTGCTGGTTCAAAAACAACAGGGTGTCTGTTTTGGAAAAGAGTAATTCAATCTTTTATTTCCCAGCGTCGATTTCTTTCTTTAAGTATTTTAAAAAGTAATTTTTGTAAGCAGAAATTAGCATTATTCCGTGCTTGTTATAATAAAGTATTTCTCTCGGCGATGAAAATACGTTGCATTTGCTTTAGGGAGAATATGCTCGCATCTTGATGCACGGAATTTTATTTCAAGTGTTAAATTTATGTTTCGTGTTACACGTGGATTTTAAGAATGTTTTGTCAAAAAGGAAAGAAGATATCTGACCAGCTCTAAAAATTTTAACGGTGAACTATTAAATACCAAGTTCAGATCGATAAGAGAAGTTGTTCTTTCGGAAACCGCACGAAACAAAAAAGTGCTTAACACCCTGCTGCGAGGCTACGCCCTCGCGGTTGTGAAAATAATAAAATATTGCATTTTACTTGTTAGAAATTTTACCGTTACGGAAGAGATCATAAAGAGCAATTTTCTCCAAATCTAACTTTAACTCGCTTCCATATTTTCCAACTGAGACGACAAATTTTGATCGAGGGAAATAAAATTATACTTTTTTTGTTTGATTAGCTTCGAATTAAACCCCAGATGAGCAGAAGAAAGATTGTAAAACTACGTGTATTGAACATGAAATGTCTTCCGTTTTGCCTTCGATGCTTTTTCAAGTGGAGCTCGGCGCGTGAAATGTGTCAATTCGTAACTGCACCCTTGAAGCTAAGATACAAAATGACCATAAAGAAAAATTCACACTGTACCTCATGATAAGAGCAACGCTCGTCGCAATTTGCGGGAACTTCTACAACTTGATAAAGCTCTCCGCCTAGTGGAGCGACCAGAGTACCATTTGGAAGTCTCCAAGTTGAGCAACTTCGTAGGACGTTTTGCGCATCGTGGCAACTCAGAAATTTGCAACCAGGGGGTAAATATTGCGCGAGGTTAGGTAGTCCATGAGACACAGGCGAAATCTGATAAGACATTCTATCTAGTTACTTCCCTGTAAAAGGAGTCACAAACGAAGATCAATACGGAGGAAAATGAAAGTAAGACAAGTATCACGTTACTGAGTATTCAAAGGACATATCTCATCTTTTAAGAAAAGGCATAGAAGAACTCATATCCCTGTCATCGCTTGACAAACTCTGAAGTCAATTTAAGGCTCCGTTCCCATCGTGGACTTTCTTTGAACGAAAATGTAAGGCTAGACTAGAAAATTACACCAATTTTTTGACCGGATACCACGTTTTCGCTGTAATACCGTTTAGAATTAATGCCACAATGTTTAGTCATGAATTCAGGGTGAAAGCGGCTAGATGGAGCAATTAGTTGCCGGCGAAAATCGAAATGGTAAATTAAAATCTTTCAAAATGGCTTGAGTAAACGACACGGAATAAAATTGCTTTGGGAAAACATTTTGCGTCGTTAAAAGGTTTGTCGTGGGCGAGTGCAGGAAATTCTTTTATCTCCAGAGAGAAGTCCACTATAGCGAATGATTCCTCTTCCAAAAGTTGACGAACACATAAGCCGATTTAGCTGAGTAAACATAGGACAGAAATAGTAGAGTCTGTGCTGTTTGATATGGCTATCGCAAACAAGGTATCGAAAATTGGCCGTTCTAATGATAAATGCAACATTCTGGGTACGACTTTGAGTACAATGATGCTTTGTAATGGAAAAGAAACCATGACGAGTTTTTTTTCGCCTTCGAAAAATGAAAAAAAAACACATTTGAGAAGGTTGGGACTCTGAAAGTAATCGTGCTAAGAATTTTTTTCAAATGTCATAAAAAGGCAAGTTTCACTACCGTTTTAAGAATTTAGAACTCGAGACAGCAGCAATAGGTTAGCAAAAGATAAAAGTAACTTGACACCTCTGAAATAGAAACCATTGCGACGAGATAAAGCGAGATAAAAATCAAAATTCTTGTACTGATGCTTGAAAACGTAACAAATAAACTAAAAGAAAACTAGGCAAGAAGATAAAAAAAAACAACCAAAAGGCAAAAAAAAAGGTACCTGGTATGATATTCTCACTGCACCGAACGTAAACTCTATGGAACTTTTTACACCGGTGATGGTCGTTTTCTGTTTCCAAGCTAGAAGTTAAGATCTCTTAAAACCCATTACACACCGAATGAACACAAAAAATGGAAGCCAAAATTGCCACAGCTGTAGGCCTATTATTTACGCGGTTCTAGCGTCACAGGGCTGTGAGCGATTTTGAAATAAATTACTCGATTGTTCTATGAGCGATTAATAATTGATTGCCAGTGATACGCTCAGCTAATTCGTTTCTCGACCCTCAGAGTTTAAGCATCTGACACAGAGTTAAGCTTGTCAATTGGATATAAATTATGTTGATTTCATTATGGCCGGGCGCACTGTTTGTGTATCACTGTTTGAAGACCTCACTTCCGTCCTATTTGACGGCCATTTTCACCATGAGAGAAAAGTTGTCGACACAGGTGTTGCTTGGCTGCACATTGACAAAAGTTATAGAAACTTTCTTCAATATTATTTAATTTTCCTTGATGACTTATTTGTGGTCTCATAATACAGGGTGAAAAGTTTCCTTTTTTTTCTTAAAATCTCCTTGAAATCCCTTGGAAGCTGGGCTCAACAGAGAAAAATTATCATTCTCTAGTCATCGGCTCCAAACTCGGGCCGAAAATTGGATAATGTACAAAATTTGAACAATGGCAGAGTTGTATTTTTCGACCATCTCAAGTTTTCTTTATCTATTTTCCACTTGAAAGGTGAAAGAATTATTATGGCTCCAATTTTGCTTGTTAGACAAAATTTTCTCTCTTTAAAACTGACCGCAATTGATTTATTTTAACCAATGAAAAAATTACTAGTAAGGTATCCAATTCACTGTCTCGTTACTCGCGATAAAATTGTATTTTGTTAACAGTGCGTCAAGTGTGGAACGAAGGTATTTCAATTTTGCCAACATGAATGTTTTGCTTAAATAATACACCAGACTCTAAATGAGAGGTGAATTTGCTCTTCGCTGTAAGTTTGTTTACGCGTAGAAGTTGAAGAAACATTGAATGCAAGGTTTAAATTACATTTTAACAAGTATGACCCAAACTTGTGAGTTATTTTGTTTCTTTCTTTTGACTACCCCCGTGCAATAATACCCTCTCCCGCCCATAGTTCACAATACCTGTAAATTTAATACTCTTCAAAGTTAACAACCTTGTATCTCCCGCTCGGACCGGAAAATGCCAGGTTGAAAATAGAATAACAAATGTGTTTCTCTGTTTGAAGCGCTACGCCAGGCCTGTGGCCTGTTTAAACGGACCAAATGGCGTTGGGTTGACTTCTATGAAACAAGTAAAAAAAGAAAGTGATCGTATAGAAAAAATGAAACGCATCTGCAGAAGCAGTCTTTTCTCATTTATGATGGTTGAAGTACGCCACAATAACAAACCATCAGCTAAATTGCTATTGTTGTGCGGAAGTCAGAATTAAGATATTGTGATTTCGACGCATGAGGAGAGAAATGTAGGTGGTGTTTGGTCATAGAGTAACAAGAAAAAATTGAAGGAGTTATCAGTGAGAGCCCTTGCCCTTACATCATGATAAAGTCGTATCGGTTACAAGGTCGAGGAAACACAAACTTGTTCCTGGGGATATGAATTAAAGACGATTTTATAAGCCCTGGGAAAAGGACAGATGCCATACATATGCGAAAGAAAAGCCCAATTAAAGTGATTTATAACAACTATTTTTCGTGTTTAACCTGTATAAAAGATAATTTCATCATGAACAAACATTATTTTACTTTTCGCAGTGTTCGCCTTTGCACAATAACTGCTTTATTGGTTTAAATGCTCTGTCGCCTGTATGCTAATTTCAGACAGAAGCAGCCGCGGCACACAGGACTAAGCAACCTGTAAATCTTACAATGATCCTCGCCAAGGTTTCAATTAAGCATTACTAAAAACCGTGAGTGCATATTAGGGGTCATATGGGTAAAGCCTTCAAAGGACAAGTCCGCTAATTTCAAAGGAAACACATAAGTTAATAAGATGGTGGCTTGACACAAGGCTCTTGGAAATGTACCCATTTTAAATTCGCCAGCACATCGCTTTGGAAAGTATAGTATAATGTGGAAAGCACTTGGCTTTTTTCCGGTCGCGAATGAAAGCTTACTGAAAGGAACAGACTTGTTTAAGAATCATAATTCTTCGGAACTTCTTCGCTCTTGTATATTTGAAGAAGGTCACTGTTTCAGAGCAATTTTGCATAGTTTTTCCTAAAGGGGTTTTAACTCAGTGACAAAGGTCAGTCTTCAATAAAAAGTTGGCAAATGCGTGCAAATTTGTTTATTCAAAAACGAGAATTGTCTTATGTGAATTGCATATATTGCACTGATATATATTTTCATTTTATGAGCAATGCGTTTTTATTATTTTAAAAACCCATGGCTGACTAATATTTTAAACGAATGAAACAGGCCAGCTCAGTGTTGCTGGATGAACTTAGCCGCAAAGAGTTTAATATGGGAAGATAGACTTTCTAGGCAGTGCATTAGTAACCAGAGCCTAAGGGTTACAGCTATTCAAAATTAATTACAACTAAACCTGTTTTACACAAATGCACTTGAAACGAAAATCTATACAATTTTAAAGAACGAATGACTTATCGATTACATACAAGCTATTCGTTAATTCACATGTAATCTTTTAGGCCTTGGTCGCGCACGTGCACAAACCCAAATTCAATTTACAGTCAACACAATATGCTTTTTCGCTTCATTTTGTGTGAAAAATCGTGCTAAAGAAAGCTCTGTTGATTGGACAGTAGGACACGAAAAGCCAAGGAAATTAGTGTCACTTACACTTTCAAACCTCTCTTATGTTCGCGCAATTCTCTTCAAATTTTGTTTGCTTTGTAATCAGAAAACATTATAGCCGAAGGTAATATTGAGGGATTTAGTAGAAAAAAATTACCGCTAGTTATTTCGTTCCCTCGTTTGTGTAAAGTAAACAAAGCCAGTCTTAAATTTGATTTTCGACTTCGCTGACTGCACGTTGAGAATTCTCACGTGAAATGGCGTCTACAGAGGAACACACAAACACACACAAAAAAAAAAATAGGCGAGCATTAATTAATTGTTGCCTTGCATCGTTGTATTAGCCAAGTAACTGGCGACCGTTTCAACAAAACAAGATAACTCTAGAAATTAAACCAATAACTATAGAAAAGTTATTAGCCACTTTTGGAGTCAAAAAAAAAGAAATTCGGCTTTCCCGGAAATCGCGATGAAAAACTAGAAAAAATGTCATCGTTTTTACCTGTGAAAGTACACTCTTTGCTCGCTTAAATAGCATCTGGAAAACAGATGCTTTTAAAATAAATGAAGCGCTTGGCAAGCAGCGTGTTGCCCTAACACTGTCTCTGTTGAAGATCTGTTCGCATTGTGGCCCATCGTCGTCAAACAAGGTTTTGTTGCTAAGAGAGGGTTATTCTCGAGCTTCTGTTTTTTTATCACTTCAAGTCAGTGGAGCGTAACATATATAGTGGTAATTTATAGCAATACTGCATGGGGCATAAAACTGCTCTTATTTCAGCCTCGACTTGGTATCTGTGTTTCAGAATTTCCCTTCTAGTTGCTTACTCGGCAATACTTTTATCGTTTCATCAGAGTAAGTTTTTGAGAAATGGCTGGGGTCGATTTTAGAGGACTTCTATCTCATGTTTGCTCTTGATTGTGCAGTGGGAAAAAATCGTATTGACATTATAATATTGTATTTACACCAAGTTCGGGTTTACAAGTTTCTTGATTAACGGCTAAATGAGACTAAAAGTTTTAAGCGAAAACTAACTTTTATCACCATACTGAGTGGAACTTTACATATAGTGGAGTGAAAAATGGAATGCTTTTTACTGGTCATCCGTGAGCTTTCAATCAATTGACGCACATTAATTTGTTAAAATTGGCGACGAAAATTCTGTTCAGAAATCACCTTCATTTCCTTTTATTGGTTCTTTTTAAACCACATTTCATACTACTTTTTGCTCGCAGCATTTGGTAGATTTTCTACTGCGCTAATCTTAAAACGCTTCTGCCATGTTCTTCCCTTTCAAACGTTCAAGGTATCATATTGCTGCTTGTTTCCAAGCTCGTGATTTTTCTAGTCCTTTCAGTTTCGAGAAACCTGGAAACTAACAAACACTTCCTCACACCACTCCCCTCTTGCATCAAAGTTTGCATATTGATTATGTAACTTGAAATAGTTTTTCAACCAAGATGTGCATAGCTGTTTACTTGAAATGTAAACTGATATCAACCATCTACGCCTCGTGGATTTAGAGTATCCCCTAGATAAGTTACCATTTGTTTATTTCTATAGGGTTTACAGCACTGAATTAAGGTCGCATACCTGAACATGCTTCTAGAGCTATATTGGTATCAGAAAAGCTTAGGAAACTATCACGAACCGTTTTGAAAAATGCAAATGAAGTTCACGTACACTGAACCATTTTTAGCTTGATATGAATTTTGTTAAGTACAGTCTAGACATCTCATATTATTTAGTACTTGTTAATGCAATATCTCTTTTTCTGCGATGGCTTTTAGATGGCTAAAGCGATTATAATTGAAAACGTGGAGAACCGTGAAAACTTGAAAAGGCTGACTAAACTAAAAGTGTTAATTTAGCCGAACAGCGAAGCAGGATATTCATTTAGCCTGCGATACATTGAGATAATAGAAAGCGTCAGTAAAATTAGTTGGAAGAAAGGCACTTCTGAATATTATGACTGCATCGCTGATTCTGACTTCCATAATTCACTAAAAAACACCATTCCGGCTATTTTCTCCGAGGTCAACGAAATCCGTTTGACATTTATATCATTTAACCACAGCGGCATACCAGGCTAAAATGCGCGTCTCAGTTTCATTTTCAAGAGGCAAACAATAATAAGAGTTAGCTATAAAAAGAGCTTTTAAGATCATGTCTTTACATCTAAATATCAAGACTCAGTGGATGACGAATCGCTGCCACATGGAGTGGGGAAATTTCGCCGTTTAAGTGATGAAGTTTGTGAAAATCGTTGTCCCTACAGAAGAAGTTTGTCTCGGAAAAAGTTTGACTGATTCAAGCTGG